AGGATGTTTTGAGTTAAATATTGGTCCAATTAAGTGCATCTGATTAAGACTGTCAAACTGGAAAGGAAGCGAGTTGAAAAGGTGTTCTCTTCTGAGGATGCGGCGAGAGTTGTGGGTATTGAGTTACTGAGTTGCTGCTTGAGAACTGAATTATAAATAAATGTGTTAGGTAGTCGAATTTTGTTTTGTTTTCCCCTAAGGAGAAATGTTTCTGCCACATGGCAACAAAAATTATTCAGCATATTTTCATCCTGTAATTGTACCGTTTTTATTCTTAATTCTTTGAGTTTCTGATTCCAAGGGAGCACACACACGCAAACACAAACTGTTGTGTAAAATTGACAAGAATGAGTGTGAACCAGGCAGAGGTGGTGGTGGTAAAATTAGCAATGGAAATGGCTTCTGTTTCTGGAGGTTAAACATGATGTATTTACAAGACGTTATTTACAGTGGCCACTTAGAGGCTTCCCCGGATGCCTTCGTTAAGAAAGCTGTGAAATCCGCAGGAAGCATGTGCAGGATCGCACAGTGCTCTGTGATTCTGGGCGATGACTCCATGCTGCTTGACAGACAGGAAAATGGAGGGGTCTTGCTGCCGGGGACTTCCCAGATTGTGACAGAGAGAGACAAAAGTCAAGGCTTGCCTGTCCTGGAGTTGGTGGCGGGCAGCAGGTTGACCCTGTGCATTGCGGCACAGCGTTGCTCTGAGCTGTCCCAGCCGCAGGGAATTCCATGCTGGGGAAGGTGCTGGTTGTCCCACAGACCCCGTTGGAAGTGACCTCATCATTCAGTGGTCCTAGGCAGCTTTCAAGGTCACCTCCTTGACGACACTGAAAGTGAAAACAGAAGCACAGCAGGCAAATAATAAGTAGTAATAATAACAAAATAATATTTGTGGGAGAAAATCCTGGCAGTCTGTGAACTGGAAACGCATTTGTTTGAGCCTGTTGTTCTTCCCCGACCCCTCCACATCCCTCAAAGCCTCCTCTACTCCTCAGTTGATCTCAAGTGATGCCAGAATAATTTCAGATATGTTTCTCCCCAACTTTCTGCCCTCGCTCTTTCAATGGCGTGCGTTCAAATTATTTAATGGCTTGTTACTTTAATGACCTCAATTTCAGTAGCAGCATCTTTGGAAGAGCTATTGACAGAGCATTATGAATTTATCAAAATATTCCTTATGTCTCTGAGTTTTCTTGGAGTCCAGAGGAGTGTGTGTCTTAGTGATCGTGTTTGCAGAGAATGCACGCATGGGTGATTGAGAAATATCTAGGTGCTTTTGGGACACAAAGAGTTCTGATTAAGAAATGCTTTCCCTCATTTGTTTGTTTGGGCTTGGGTTTTTGTAAGGTTGGAAATGTTGCCTTAAATGTAGATAGGAGCGTTTCCTATCATTCAAGAATGCTCAGCCCTCCTTGTCACTGCTTGATAGGATTAGAACGCCGATAGACAACTTCTGTAGTTTTTAGCACACTCATCGCTTGAGCACATTTGCAGGGGGATATCCTCGCTCTCTGAAGGTGTGGAGGGGGTTAGAAAGTTAAGCTTTGCCTTTGGGGCTTTGCCAGTAGATGTGCTATAGTCTCCTGCAACAAAGAGGCTGAGAAGGAGTGGAGAGAACAGAGCGCAGGTAAAATGAGTCCTTTCACCCTGACTTGGCTCAAGTGAAGAGTGCATCCCTGGCTGATTTCTGATTCTAGAGAACAGAAGGCTGACTGGAGGATGGAGGAGCAGTTGCTCAGAGCCCTCTAGAAGTTGCCATTCGGAGGGTCTCCTGGGAGTCTGTGCAGAGAAGCTCTGGACTGGATGTTGAGAAATGTGGGGTTCCTGGTTCAAACATTAGCATGAGTGTGGCTTTGATTCAGCCAGTCACCTTTAGCATATTTAATGATCTCTGTAAGACGACAAGACTGGACACGCGTTTGTAACATTTTGTGGTTCGGAAAACCTTGATTTTCTTTACCTTGCTAATTGGCTTTATTGCATTAGTTTGGAACCTGTTTGACCATCTCGAACTACTTTACTATGACAAAAATGTCATCTAAAAGCACTTAATTTTGAATTGTGTGTTTTCCTGTATACTCATTTAAGGAATGTCAATGAAGAGCAAAGAAGAGATATTCAATTAATTCGTACTGTAATGATTTTTAAATCTTTTGTGCGTCTTACTATTTATAGTAGAGTTCCCATGTGATTCTCTCGGAGGCTAAGATGTTTAATCTGAAATCAAGAAAGGTGGCTTGCTAAAGCAACGCCAAATTAGCCCCATTGTTGAAACTGATGTTGACTGCTAGGTGTTTGGTAGAAGGCATCTGTACAAGAAGCTGGTGGGGAGATGAGTTCAGGGTCACTGCCGATTTGAGGAAAGATGAAAAATGTAGAAATCAAGTGGGGAGATGGAAATGTGGCAACTCACAAGGAACCAGACTGTTTTTTAACAGAGAAAATTCAATTTTATCTGCTTTTTCCCCACAAATTCCATTTGATATTTTACATTTTCTTGATAACTTAATAAAGAATCTCGGGAAGGAGTTGCAGAACTTGAGCTCAGTGAACGAGAATTTGTCATTCGTGACATTTCTTCTCTAAATAGCTTGGGAAGATCAATGTATTAGCTTGTAGTTCACGCATTACTAGTTCTAGCTATTTCTATTCTGAAAAGAAACAGCATGTTATATAGCACAACTTGGCTCAGTGAGGAATTTTTGCTCAATTCCTACACGTTGTTGAGCTGTGGGACCAGTCATTGTGCATGGAAGGCATAGCATGGGCTATGTGCCTAGTAAAACACTCTCCCTGCCCTCAAGAAGCACCATTTGAGAAGAGAAGCCAATACTGTGAATAGCATTTAGAGTGATATAAAATCAGGATAAACACAGCATGAAGCTGTTGGCTCCGCTTTCAAAATATACACAGAAGCTGGACACTTTCCTCCACCTGCGGTCACCTGTCAGTATCATCCCCCATCTGGACCCAGCATCCTGACTTCTCTCTCTATTTCCTACCATTCTGTATTCCCACCTGTGTGGAAAACAGCAGTCAGAACAACACTTTGACAATGGAAGTCACATCATATCACCCCCCTGCCCAACACCCTGCAGTGTTTTCCCGTTTCGCCAAGACCTGTCAGTAGTCCAGGAAGCCCCACACTGCCTCGCCACCCCACACTGTGTGCGCACACCTCCTACCCCTCTGCTCTCTGATCATCCAGTCTTCATGCCGCCCAGCCACGCTGGCTTCCTTGTCCAGTGGACATGCCAGGCTTGATTTATCAAAGCCTACACAACAGCTCTTCCTCTGCATGGAACACTGTCCCTGAGATAGCTGTCTGGACAACGCCTCGCTTCTTTCAAGTCTTTGCGCAAGTGTCACCACCCCAGTAAGGCCCCACCCTAACCACTCCATTTAAAATGACTTTTCACCTCCTATCCATTACCCCTAGTCCTCCCTGTCCTGCTTTGTAGGTTTCTCCCTAGCACCTAGCACTCTCTGGCATACTATCTGAGTTACTAATTTATTCATTTTGTTTAACATCTGTTTTCCTCCCCTGGAATGTAAGCTCCAGGAAGGCAAGACCTTTGTTTTGTTCAGTGTTCAATTTAGAGCAATCTAGAGCAACACCTGGTATGCTGCAAGTGTTCCCTAATTTTTTGTTGAGTGAGTGAATCCATGAATGAGGAAAGACAAATTCTAACTGGGAGCTCCCGGGAGAGTCATACGGAAGAACCTGTGACCTGGGTGTTGAAGAATGAGTGGACTTGGACACTTGGCTTCTCTGGGATGGACATTTCAGCTAGAAAGAATGGTTCTATCTTTGTTCAGAGTGTTCATTTCTAACAGGGCGTCCCAGTTGACTGGCGCCTGGGAGTCATGGGAGTGGGAGTGGTGGTTCAATAAATTAATATCTAGAAAATAACTCAAGGGGGCTCTCAATGGAGTGAGGGAGCAAATTCCCGATCACTGCCAGTGATAACATGGCGAGGAGGTTGGTGACTGGAATCGAAGACTCTCAGACAAGTAGCATGCACGATGTGGGAGATACTGTCACGGTAAGAAATCAGCAATGTTAATAGTGTTTGCTAATGAGATCTGGATTTTATGTAGTACTTAACTGTTTTCAAACTATGGTCACATGGTCATGTAACAGCTGGTAAAGTGAGTTACACAGATATTATCCACATTCGTTGATACACTTTTTGAAAAATTTATTGCATCTTATGTTGGAGGAAATGGATTCTCAAACCAGCTGAGTGCCTTGCCCGAGGTCAAGGAATTAGAAAGAAGGGAAGCAGCTTCCCACTATCTGTGTCTCATGGTCAGAATTTCCTGACTCTGCCAAGCTGCCCCTAATTCAGTTTTTTAAAGATTTATTTTATTTATTTGAATGGTAGAGTGACAGAGGGAGAGAGAGAAAGACATCTTCCATTTGCTGGTTTACTACCCAAATGGCCACAGCAACCAGGGTTGGGCCAGGCTGAAGCCAGGATCCAGAACTCCGTCCAGGTCTTTCACATGGGCTTCAGGGGCCCAAGCACTCAGGTCACCATCTGCTGTTTTTCCAAGCGGATTGGCAGGGAGCTGATTTGGAAGTGGAGTCACTAGAACTGGAATCAGTGCTCCAATACGGGTTGCTGCTGTTACAAGCAGTGGCTTAACCTGCTGCACCACTACACCAGCCCTGGACTGCCTCTGATTCTGGCACGGTACCCAAGATACCCTGTTGTTTTTTTCTTTTTTAAAATAAGACCGCAGACTTCTTTCCATTTCCTTCACTTATTGAAAATAGCTGTTGTTTTTTTTTTTTTGTCCATCCAACCAACCACGTCTTTCCCATATCCATGTTTCTCTTCCCTCTTTTCCCATTCGCCTTATCTGCTGTCTTTCATTCGGGTTCTCGGGTGGGAGGGCCGAGAAGGCGGGTGGGCAGGTCTGTGTGCGTGCCTTTGGGCCTCCGGATTGTCTGCTCTGAGAGTAACCCTGACCTTCTTGCTTCCCCCCAGATGTTAGTAGGCAGGAAGAGGCGGAGGCAGAACTCAGTGAAGGAGAACACTGGTATGGAAACTCTTCCGAGACTCCGTCCGAGGCCTCCTATGGAGAAGTCCAGGAGAACTATAAGTTGTCCCTGGAGGACCGGATCCAGGAGCAGTCCACATCCCCCGACACCTCCTTGGGAAGCGCGACTCCCAGCAGCCACACGTTGGAGCTGGTGGCGCTGGACGGGGAGGTGCTGCGAGACTCGCTGCCGTGTCAAGACCACCCTTCCCCGGGCGTGTCGTCTTTGTGTGAGGATGACCCCCCGGGCTCCAATAAGCCCCTGAGCAGCAACTTGAGGAGGCTACTGGAGGCTGGTTCCCTCAAACTCGAGGCCACAGCCACGGCCAACGGCAGAGTGGAGTCCCCCGTCAACGTTAGCACGAATCTCTCCTTTTCCCCGCCATCCCATCATGCCCAGCAGCTCAGTGTTCTGGCCAGGAAGTTGGCTGAGAAGCAGGAACAGAATGACCAATACACTCCAAGCAGCCGCTTTCTCTGGAACCAAGGTAAGTGGTTGCCGAACTCAACCACCACCTGCGGCCTGTCCCCGGATTCCGCCATCCTCAAACTGAAAGCTGCGGCCAACGCTGTGCTGCAGGATAAATCTCTCACCAGGACGGAGGAGACGCTGCGCTTCGAGTCCTTCTCCTCCCCCTTCAGCTCGCAGTCCGCCAGCTCTACCCTGGCCGCTTTGTCCAAGAAGGTCAGCGAGAGAAGCCTGACCCCCGGGCAGGAGCACCCACCTCCCGCCAGCTCCTTCCTGTCCCTGGCTTCCATGACCTCCTCAGCGGCCCTGCTGAAAGAGGTAGCGGCGAGGGCTGCTGGCAGTCTTCTGGCTGAGAAATCGTCCCTGTTGCCTGAGGATCCTCTACCGCCACCGCCTTCAGAGAAGAAGCCAGAGAAAGTCACGCCGCCACCTCCACCTCCGCCGCCGCCGCCGCCACCGCCACCGCCTGCGCCAGCACCAGCGCCTCAGTCCTTGGAATTATTGCTACTCCCCGTTCCCAAGGGAAGAGTTTCTAAGCCCTCCAATTCAGGTAGGGAGTCTTTTCTTCCAGTCATCACGTAAGTCTGTTTGGCTGTCCACCGCCATGTCTTATTCATCGACTTTTCCAGTTGGGGTCCCCTTCTGATCTGAGACATGAATGAAAAAAAAAGGCAGGAGACAACAAAATACTTTAAGTAAGCAGCGTAGTAGTCTTTCATGTGTGTATTACACAAAGACTTCACAAATAGCTTCATTTTTGAAAGGTAATGAATAATCTTAGAGATGTACAGTACTCCCTCCCTTTCATACAAATGATTTTTTTTTTTCTTACCAAGTTCAGGCTAGGTCCACACAAGGTATATTTAATGGGGGAAGATCAAAGCATCTTTGTCATGGAGTGCATGGCATCCCTGAACATAGGAGGAAAAAAACCCCTCTGCTTTTGAAATAGTGGACAAGGGAGAGCTCACCCTCCTGCTGCCTCCATCACAAATGGACTTTTGTGTAATCAGTAACTGCTCTGCCCTAATTTATCACAGTAGATCTTTTTCTGCCAGCATTTTTATGACTTTTTTTTTCTTTTGGTGAAATATGAGCCTTTTTCACTTAGCCTATTCTAATGTAATTTCTTGTCATCTAAGAAGACTAAAAAAATATTGTCCATCAAACATAATCAAAGCAGTTCGTGCAGATGCTTTACTTTATTCATATCCAATCAGACTTTGAAAGAATGTGCATGTGGAAAATTTGAGTCATACATCTCTGGTGGAGATAGTCCTTCCAAAGGAGAAGTTGCTGTCATATAGAGCCTTGGCATTCACTGTTATTCCTCTGGGGGAGAAAGTTCATCATTTCAGTGCACACAATGGCAACAGCATTTCTTATACTGGTTTGCTTTAAAACTGTGTGCCCTGATGGATACATGTTCCTGGGGATGGATGGCTGTGTATGGTTTCGGATGTCTCTTTAGGATATCCTGCCAGACTGGAACAGGAAGTGGGCGCTGTGTGCCCTCATCAGTATAAACACAGCCCTGTGTGTGTCTAGCCAACCTTTGGTTATCTGCAGCAGCATTGAGAACAAGTGCTTGGCATGGCAAATACTTGACTGAGCCATCATCGCTTACAACACGTTGATGTCTTTATGACAAATTTCCATTTACATTTTTGAGTGAGCTGTATGCACTAATTATAATTACTTTAAAACTTGTGTAAACAGCAGAATAGAATGTGGAGGATGGATTTCTGGGACTTTTATGACTCTGAGCGACCCAACCATTCACTGTTGAGTTCCTGAAGTGTCAATAAAATCCCAGAATGTTTATCAATTCTGCGTTTCATTTTTCACTTCTCACCTGCCATCTGGTGAAATATGGAGAAATATGGCTAAAATTAAGAAGCGAGGAGAAAAGCAAAGGGAACTGGATAATTTTGCAATGGAATAAAGCTCTCTTAACAAAGAGAAATTTCAGTTAGGGATAGCAGCAGAAAGAGAGGCATGGCCATATATAAAATATTTACATAAAATATTTTATAAGTAGTCTCTGTATCTAGTGGTTGAGAAAAATGTGTGAATGTTTACATATAAATTCATTGGGGTGTTACTTACCTGGAAAAGCCTAGACAAAATTAATAATAAGCTTAGTTAACTGAAGACTTGGAAAGAAGTGGGTGACAGGACCAGTGTCCTGCAGGCCACACATTGCAGAGCCTTGTCATTATAAAGTGGTTGCGGATGTAACCAGCCACGGTTGTGACATAACTATTTTTTTCACTCAAATGGCTAGATGCATGTAAAGATGAGAAAGAGGCCATGAGCTTCTGATGAAGTGTAGACTTTTGGTTTGTTTCATTCTAGGATAGATACCCCAGGGAAAAGATGTGTTTTCTGTTTGGTTTAAATACTATGCCAACATCTTGATGGGCTTCTCAGCAGAATTTAATATGGGAGATCTGTGAGACATTGCATTTTATTTCTACTGAATTCCATTGCAGAAACACTTAATATTTTAACCAGGGGATGTTCCAAATGTTCACACTGGAACAGGAGAGAAAGAGGATTGACTTGCACCTTACACCTCTGTTCATAATCCAAGACTTGGTGACATAGCACCATCATCAGAGTAATTGTACTTAAAAAGTCATTCATTTTGTGAAATTCATGCAAGAGGAAAGATTACTTGCAAAGAAAAACATGGAGGTCCTTAAATTGATTACTCAGAAAAAATATTCAATGTGTCTACATAGATGTATGCTAAAGTCAAGTTCGGTTTATTATTGCATGGATTGGAAGTAAGAGGGAGGATGAGTGTACTTTTTCAGCTAACAGGGATGTCACTTCCCAGCTTAACCTTGTATGGGTTAAGAAGGAGTCCATAAAGTATTCCATTTCGTTTCTTAACTTTATATCGTGGAGACATGCTTTAGTGTCACACAGGGTCACTGATCTTGGCATCTGAGTAGCAGAAGGGCAGGTGGGTCTTCCCCGTCTGTTCCCACTTCTCCCATTTGCACACACTGTATGCACATACTGTGTTGCTGGTTTCACCACAGCCTGGGGACTGGATTCTGCTATAACTGGGCTTTACCTCAAATGCATATAGGAATGTGGTGAGAGCCATTGCCCATGTTTCTAAACTTTTCTTATTTTTTTCCTTTACCTAAGAAAAATTTATAGTGTAATTCATCATAGGTAGGTAGACTGGCTTTTCACAGCAGGGATCAAGTTTCTGTTGGCCAATGACTTCAATAAACAAATAACAACAGCAAAAGCCACAAAAATAAACTACACAGCATCTGATTTCAAACAGGGCTTAGATACTTTTTAAAGAAGCTATTTCCCCAAATGTTGCGAAAAGGGCACATAAAGTTGATTTTAGAGTTCCAAAGAGATATGTGCTAGAGAAGCTAATCCTGTCTTGAGCAATTTAGACACCAGCATTTCTTTGACCTTCTTCAGGTCAAGAGAAGTCCAAACCATGGGGGGAGAAAGTGTGTCTCAGGTCTGGCCTCATTCTTCTCTGAACAGAATTCCGTTGTTGCCAGGTCATGGTGTATTTAATTCCTGAAGGAGTCCACCACTGGATAGCCTTTCCGCCCCGCAAGAGAGGCGTGACACGGGGGAGGAGGTTTCTTTCATGTGACCCTGCATCCCCAGCCCATGCAGCACTGCGCCTCTGAAAGGGGACGTGAGCGAGGGAAGATGATGTCCGTTTGCTATAAAGATAAATGTCACACATTGACTCAATTCTCTTTGAAGCTACTGTGCTGTTGCAGCTAAGAATAAAATAAATGGTTTTTATTTTTAAGACAAAGTTTCTTGTAGAAGACCAGCAAGAATCTCACGATGCCAAGATCCCAGTTAAAAGGAATAACAGGGAGAGTTGCAGAGAGAGGGTCTCCAAACCATCTCATTGTACTGAGTCTAATTTTAAATAGCTTAGAAGACACCTAGTCCCCACATAGCTGATAGGTAAAATTACTTCCTGGGTCCATACACAGGGATTTTCAGACTGCTGTTTTCTTTCATATTTATATGATACTATTATTAAATAGTCCAGAGAGGGAGAGATAACCTCTCGTGACACTCTCATTAAGTCTACGGTGATGACAGCCTTAATCTGAAACTGATCAAATACATGAACTTATTTAGAAAATTCACTTTCCAGCCAAGATTCAGAACTATCACTGATCTCAATTATATTTTCCCAGTGATTTAATCTTGGGCTGTCTGTAGCTATCGGGTGTCTTTATTAGCTTTATTGAATGCCAATTAGTTGTTAAAATGCATATTGATAATGTCAGCATCACTAACAACAGATACATGCAGTATTATCCACTAGTTTTTATTGGTGGTGTCCTGAAGTAGCATTTGAGAGACATGCCGAGGACTTCTTGCTAAAAGATGTTAAGCCCACATATGTGCTTAAGAAGGAAGCTGGGGCCGGCGCCGTGGCTCAATAGGCTAATCCTCCGCCTGCGGCGCCGGCACCCTGGGTTCTAGTCCTGGTCAGGGTTCTAGTCCTGGTCAGGGTGCCGGATTCTGTCCCGGTTGCCCCTCTTCCAGGCCAGCTCTCTGCTGTGGTCCGGGAGTGCAGTGGAGGATGGCCCAAGTCCTTGGGCCCTGCACCCGCATGTGAGACCAGGAGAAGCGCCTGGCTCCTGGCTTCGGATCAGCGCAGTGCGCCGGCCGCAGCGGCCATTGGGCGGTGAACCAACAGAAAAGGAAGACCTTTCTCTCTGTCTCTCTCTCACTCACTGTCCACTCTGCCTGTCAAAAAAAAAAAAAAAAAAAAAAAAAAAAAAAAAGAAAAAGAAGGAAGCTGGTCAGCCTATCCACGTGTGCACTAGTGTCATGAGTAGATCCAGAGTGGTGATTGTGAGATGCACAGATTATGTGCACTCAGGGTCACCTGCTGTCTTGGACTCTTTGTCTATGGTAAGGTCTGTGGCTTGGGTATGGTAAGGTGTTGGACTTCTTTGTGTTTGGTAAGGTCTGTGGCAGGAACTACCCACTTGCAGGTTACCCTGACTTTCTGCAAATCGCCACAGAGGGACTAACAAGAGAAGGTTTCCTTTCAAGCCCTACAACTCAGTTACACTGGTTTTAAAAATACTTATCTTGAGTTAAGACAAATAACCTACTAACACCTTCCGTGATTTCTTTATGTTTTTAGCCCAGTGAAGTTTTGTTTTCATTGCTTTGTGAATTTATTGTAGACGCTAAGGTGGAGCACCAAACTGGCAGCCAAGGGATTGGTCTAATCCCAGCCCTGCTGCTAAGTAGCAGCAGGATTTTAAGAGTCCCAGCTCAGTTCAGTGTCCCCATCTGTAAGCGGAGCTGGTCTGGATTTCTCTCGAAGATTCCCTCCTGTTTTAAAATTCCTTGCTTTTACTTACTGCTTATTTTTCACTCTGCTTGCCGATTAACTCCAAGCAAACACTTTTTTTTTTCCTATTTTTGAATTAAATATGTTGCTTCTTAAAATTTACTCTCAAACCTCCCCAAAGACTGTCTCTGCTTTGGGCAGATCTTGTCCATTATAAATAGTTCAACATATATCACTGTACTTTATTAATGATGTAGTCACACGCTATGAATTTTTCATGCAAGCTGCTCCAAGTTCACTTTTGGAAATAGCTGAGGGATAAGTACATAAACATGTATCTGCTTATCCATCCATTCACTGCGAACGTGTATGGTGTATACTTGTTTGTGAAAGGCATGCCGTCTTAGACTAACACTAGTTCCACTGGGACTCGCTGGCAGCCTCCTGCATCATTTCCTTCCATTTCCAGAACTCATTTCATTTTTTTTTTCCTACTCTCTTGGCCCAGCCCTTTTCACTTAATCTCATTGAAGTCCAACACACGTTCATTGAGTCGTGTGTTGAAGCTGGCACTCCCCTGGGTGCTGGAGACACAAAGGTAAGGCCTTCCAGGCCCTGCCACAGCCAGTTCCCCCTTCCACTCCATTCTTCACTCTTTCTATCTTTTCTGTCTCTCTCTCTCCCCTGCTCAGTTGATTTGGCCATCAGAGCTGTAGGCAGAGCCAGATCACAGGCACAATGGAGCCCTCCTTCATTTCTCTTTAGCTCCAGTGACAAACTCCCATGTTGGGCCTGGCCTGGAGCTGTGTAACTATTATGTGATGCAGTTGTTCCAATTTACATATGCTCTGCTGTGAGTTTTCTGCTTCTGAGGGTCTGTTTAGAGTTTATTGTCACTCCTATTGCTGCAACAGCCACTGCTTACCTGTAGCTTCCATTCACTGTGTGACAGGTATTTTACGCACATTCAAGATCTCTTTTATTCCAATAATGTTATTACCCATAAACAGAACATGTTGTCTCCAAAGGAGCAAAGTAGCAGCTCTTCATCCCACTGGCTCTATTAGTGTTTGGTGCAATTTCGTTTTGTTTGCACTGATACTAACTAGCTAGTCATTTACTTGGGGGAAGATGTTTATCAGGCGGTTGTATGCTCCAATCTGTATTGCCTCAAGGAGGGTGGTTCATTTTGAGGAAGTGGTCATGTTTCCTTAGGCTCTAAATTAGAGTGAAATTTACAGCTGTCAGTTCCCTGAAAATAGTTTTTGTACAAATAGAGTATACCCTTGCTTCCTGCCTGCTCTAAAGTCGTTAGCAGCCTCCTGTACACTTGGCGAAATAATGAAATGCTTTCTTGAGTCAATAAAAACACAAATATGACCAGTGAAGTTTACTGGCCAAATCTGAGAAGCCATTGATTATTTTTCTCCTTGGCTCCTATCTTCTTTTCTTGACTCGACCAGTTAAAATTTGTTAGTGACAGAAGTGTAGCTATTTGACCATATTTGCAGCAGTTAGTCTCTCTTCATTGGGAGATTTCTAATCATTCTCCCAGTGAATTCAAGGACATCCAGATTTGTACATGATTCATGTGTATCTGGGTGTTAATTAACACTAAAGAAGCATATGCTAATATGCCTGGGCTAATGTGTGTACTGCAAAAACATGAAATACAGAATCAGTGATTAGGGTGGGGATTGGGGGCATCACAAAGAAGAGGAGGCACACTGGTCACATTAGACAAGGCAAGGCACTAGGGGAAATCAGCAATATTCATTTTTATTCAGTAAATGATTTTTTATTTTAAAAATTTATTTCTTTAAAAGGCAGAGTGACACACACACACACACACACACACACAGAGGAATCTTCCATCTACTGGTTTGTTCCCCAAGTGCCGGCAATGGCTGGGGCTGTGTAGACCAGACAGAATCAGGGAGGCTGAAACTCCATCTGGGTCTCTCCTGAGGGTGGCAGTGACCGAAGTACTCAGTCCATCGTCTGCTGCCTTCCCAGGCACATTTGCAGGAAGCTGGCTGGAAGTAGAGCAGCCAGGACTTGAACAACCAGCACTTCCGTATGGGATGCGATGTCCCAAGCAGTGGCTTAACCACAATGCCCACCCCAGTTAATTAGTTGATTTTATTGCTCTCCCTAGTGTGCCATGAGATCTCAGGCAAGTGGAGGATATCTTAGCTTTTCTCTTCTATCAAATAAGGCAGCTTCAGGTTTCTATAGTGAGAAATACCTCCTCAAGAGGAGGAACAATGGCAGTGTTTCTGTGTCACTGATTACTTTGTTGTTCTTAACCACCCAAAATAGGCATCATGGTCATTCTCCTCCCTCCAGCATATGCCAGTAATCTCTCAGAGCCGACTCAGTCCTTTCTCTCAGATCTGTTGTTCGGTATGTAGTCTTTGTGTGACCAAGATACCATCACAGAGGAGATGGCAATGAAGGAGAGAAGATGAGAGGCACAACTGGGCTCCAGATCAGCAGTGGAAGGCAACCAAAACAGGGTGCAAGAAAGCTACAGGGGGTTAAACCAACGTGCTTGCTTATAGGTCTCTGCAAGGTGTGGTTTCCATCCCTCCCCCCCACTCATCACCATAGGAAATACTTGGGGCAGAGCCGATCACAAGTAGACTTTGCAGATTTGAAGAGTATATTTTTAGCTAGCGGAGTCTTTCTCAAGTGGCATGGTTAGGCTAACTGAAATCACTTCATTTATTTGAAAGAGAGAGATCTTCTGTCTGCTGTTTTATTCCTCAGGTCTGCAACAGCCAGGTCTGGGTCAGGTGAGAAGTCAGGAACTCAATTTGGGTTTCCCCCATGGGTGGCAGGGACCCACATACTTGAGTCATCACCTGCTGCCTCCCAGGGTACGCATAAGCAGGAAGCTAAAAACCAGGCACCTGATAGTGGATGTGAACGTCCCAAGTGGAATCTTGATGGTGATGCTGCCCAAATCACTTATATACCTGTATTAGTGGAATTTCATTTTTGGAATGCCCTAACCTTTCAAGTTCCACCCATTTTTAAGTGATCCTTTACATGTAAAAACTTAATTGGCTCAATAAATAAATAATGAGATGATTTTAAAGTATACACTTTGGAATATTTCCTCTTCAATTATAAAAGCAACCTGTATGTTTCAAAATTCAAATAGTGCAGAAGAATATAAAATGAAAACACAAGTTTTCTTCTTGATTCCTTCTTTTTAACCCAAAGTCCTTTAACCGCAGCTGCTTAGTAGTTTCTTGGGTATGCTTCCAGAAAATGCCCTTGCAATTAAAAGGGTATCATTTTTCATTTGGTCATACCATTCTTCCTAGTCCTTCCTTTTTTTCCTTCAAGTATTTGAAAGCAAATCCCAGTTACCATATCTGTTTGCTTGTAAATATATATTTATATATATCTCCAACAGATAAGGACAATTCCTTTATCACATTTAACAGGATCATGCTGTTATGGAATTCCCAGGCTATAATCAGTATTTCCTCCATTTTTTTATCGTTTTGTTTAAACAGAATCCAAATAAGCTTCACACCTTGCATTTGTTTCATGTATCCCCTAAGTCTCTTTTTTATCCCTAATCCCTTCCCGTTTTGAAATGCCATTTGTGTTGAAGAAACTGGGTCATTTGACCTGGGGAACTCCCACATACTAGATGTGGCTGCTTCCATCCCCTTGGTGTGTTTTGCATTTTTTCTGATCACCTGTGTATCCAGTAAACTACTCGTTATATAAAGACTTGATTAAATTTTTATAAGAATATTTCACTGATGGCATACCAGAAGGCACACACTGTCCCATTTTTAGTGATGAGATTCATCAATGGTTTCAGGTGTTGTCAGCTTGGTCCATCCCGATCAGTCTTTCGCTGGATGCTTTTAGCAGCCATTGATTCTGTTGTTTTAGAAAACAAAAATAGAATCACCCTGGGCCCATGGTTTTGTATCTTGCTTTATCCACTAACTCTGATATCTTGGGCACGTTTCCATATCAGCATCTGTGGACTTTGTTCATTTTTCAAACTTGCTTCATATATTTTATGTTATGAATGTATCACAGCTTATTTAGCCAGCTTGGAAACAATTTCTGATTTCTCAGGACCAAGAAAGGAATGTCTAAATCCTTAGCACTACTTGCTTTTAATTCTTTGTTCCTCCAGACTGCAGGCGTTCATGGGTACTACGATACAGCGTCACACCAGACTCTTTCCCTTTGGGCATCCTGCAGGAGACAGTGACCTTAGCTTTCCTTAAAGGAGGGCGTTGATTTGTTTGCATTCCAGAAAAATGGAAGGATTTCAGTGAGGCCCACTTCAGTGCACAGAAGCCAGCCCAAACCGTTAGTGCCAACCAGAGGGACAGAAACAACACAGTAACAAACCTTGACCTTAAGACCGCCCTGATGGCTAAATTGGCAGCAGCATCTGCTCAAGCCACAAGCTAACAAGTCAGCAGGAGGGATCCTAAAATTTGTGTCCATTGGCGCTCGGGGTGTGAGGTTTATGACAGCTGTTTGGTTTTCAGTGCAGAGCAGAGTGTTATCCTGTCCCATTTGATTTGTCAAGAAATAAAGTTGAGGAACTCAGATACGCGGGTCTGGGAGTTCCCCTCAGGAAAGGAAGCTCCTGAAGTCAGGCTTGTCTGGCTGTGTGCAGTGCCCAGCCCGGCCAGCCCGGCCAGCCCAGGCCAGGGGAAGCCCCTCTGGGGAGGTCCCTTTCTAGAGTGAGGGATGGTCTTTGGAAGTAAGCCTTTGGCAAGATGGATGTGAATTTCTGCCTGAGGGGAAGCTGTCCTGAAACTTCTCCCGGATAAAATCTTGGAATTGCAAAGAGCGAGCCTCCAATCATTTTTGGTGCTTTTTTATGGCGATGCCTGTTAACTTAGGGCCAGCTGCAATATTCCTTTTTTGTTTTCCTAATGTTCCTCTCTTCCGCCCCCTTCCAAGCCTCCGAAGAAGAAAGCGGGAAGCCTTTCCAGTGTCCGATATGTGGCTTGGTCATAAAGAGGAAGAGCTATTGGAAGCGACACATGGTGATCCACACAGGTTTAAAAAGCCATCAGTGTCCGCTCTGTCCATTCCGGTGTGCTCGCAAGGACAATCTCAAATCCCACATGAAGGTAAGCCACCTGGGGACCCGCCTCGCCCGCAAGGCGGGTGTAGCCAGGCCCCCGTCGGGTGTGGGCGGGGTCTCGGCTGAGAGAAGGCGCCACAGGCGGAGCATGCGCAGGGGCATGCGCAGTGTGGGAAGTGGAATTCCCAGCGACCGAAGGGCGCTCACGTGGGGCCCCTATTAAAGGTACTGCTGCCCTTGTATTAACAACCCGGAACTGAAAGGCAGCGGAAACTTCAGTATCTGACGAACATTATTCCGTGTAGAGCTGCCTTCCCCATAGGGGCGCCGCAGCCTAACCTGACCTTGCCTGACAAGCGTTTCTGGGGGCGCTGCCAGGAAGAATTGGGGAAGAAAGCAGAGAAAGCCAAATCCAGGAAGAGCTGCTGTGCCTGCCGCCCAAAGGGAGGCTCTCGCGCCTGCTCCCCTTCCTGGAGAGGCTCAGGGAACATGCGGAGACACCCGCAGGCCCCTTTTAGCCCTCGGGGAGGCTTGGCGGTGGGCATGTGCCTCACCTTCCCACGCGAGGCTGTTGGTGCTTGGTCCCTTGTATTCCCACCTTTCCCTTGGCCACACCTCCAAGAACGTGGATTTCAGTGTCCTGTTGAGAATCATTGAGGAGCTTGCACCTGCAACAGTCATGGAGCACAGTGACCAGAGTCTAAGACAAAAACTTAGTCTAATAGAAGTCTTCTAGCAGACCTCACTAACCCTCAATCCTAAAAGCTTAGTCTCAAACTCAAGGAGGAGACTTAGGAAATCCAAAGCGCATGAGCTTTTGGATTTGATAGGTCTAAATTTAAATTTTACTACACAGTTTGCCAGCAAAGTGGCCTTGGGTGAGTTGACCTTTGGTCTGTCAGTTTCCTCATCTATTAAATGGGAACGGTAGCGTTTGGAAGAGCTGTCGTTGGTATTAAATAAGATGATGTGAGCAGATGTTCAATGGGAGTTTATTAATTTTAAAAAGTATTATTGAACATCTTGATAGGAACAATCAGGTTTTCACTGATATTTTAAATGTGGTTTGGCTGATGGCGCTGTTTATAAAATGCGTTGTTTCCTGCCGTAAGAAGTACAGGGTATGTGCATAATTAAGATGTTTGCAGATTTTGAAATCAGGTCTAACCGTTCTGAATAGATCGGTCATCGCTGTTCAGAACTGTAGGTCCACAAAAGTGTGATCAGATGGAACTGCTCCCAACTTTAGGAAACAACTTAGAAGATTAGAACAAAAATTAAATCCATGATGTAATTTGTTTTCTATCATTTGCCTGTTTCTCCTGGGAGAAGCATGCCCTTCATCTTCAGAATCCATTTAAGCAGGAGTTCTGGTTGGTTGGATTTAACCAAGCCTGCTTCGTTTTTACTTTAACCCTCCTCATCCTGTTTCACCTCTTCCCAAAGGAAAAATGCATATTTTAAACCTGCAGAATTGCATTTCATTAGGAGGATGAGGGTTCACAAAAAATGCCTTTAAGAGTAAAACTTGTTTAAGTTACTGTGATGTCCTGAGCTGTGTTTAGAAATCAGGTCTGGGGAATTTAAAGCTTCAGTGAGCAGAAAACTTGCATCTAGCCTGACACCTTGTAAGCTTGGTTTCAGCTCAGGGTCACTTAAAACAACCTATTTATAAACCCATGGGGAAAAAAGCTGGGTTTTCAATAGCGGGAACTACTGACCCTGAAACTGCAGGGAGATGAGTTGGGTGCCTTGATGATGCAGACAGGCGGCCTGGACGGTGTTACAGATGAGAGCTGTGAGGGCTTTGCGGGTCGTGGGGTCTTAGAATGCTTTCAGAACAAATCAATAACCAGTACAATAAAGCAGTTGTGTGAAATTACTACTTTATTCAAACTCATGGTGTCTCCTAACCTGTTGAGCCAGGACTCAAGCTTTTGATAAGGGAAGTGCGAGAAGGGCTCATACAAGGTTAATGTCATCAAACGGCGTGCTTTCTTTTTCCCTGCTCTCCACTTCACATGTCAGCTTTATTCTTAAGATGAAAGAATTCACGATTTTATTTTAATTAGACGTGTTTTCGTTTTGCTAACTTCAGCAAGCATTGTCTGTACAGAAATTTAATGGCTGTGGTTTTGCATGTAGATAGCCTCTGCTTACAATCACTGGAGACTATAGATATGGATAGATTTCCTAAAGCAAATTCTGCCTAAGAGGTGGGGGCCACATAACCAAAGATTAAACCATCAAACTATGTGGTCAGAAGAACTTTAGTTGAATCTCAGTGCCACACTTAGTAGCTGTGGGACTTTGGAAGAATCATTTCACCTCTGTAAGCCTCTGTTTCCACTAACGGAAATAATCATACCATCTGTGGCACTGGGTTGTTAGAAGAGTTAAATGAGATACTGTACTTAATACAATGCCCAGCACAGAGAAACAAGACTCAGTAAATGTAGCTATTATAGTAAACATCCTCAAAACATCTGTATGTTCATTAGTGTTTATATTTAGAAATAATCGATGAAATGGTTTAATGTACTGTAAAATAAATCTCACTGCATTTCTCTTTTTGTGATATCTCTTGAGTGCTGAGAATTTGGAAAAACTAAAAACAGAATATAAACTTTACCCTTGGTCCCATCAACCAGAGATAACCATTGTCATTCTGATGTATGTTCTTCCCTATTGATTGTATAGAGTCTTTTAGGAGAACTGGCATTCTGCTTGTCTGTTCAACAGTAGTGCCTCCTGTGTCCCTACTACGTGCTCTGCACTGTGCACATTTGAATTCGGCCTCCCCTCCATAATGTATTGTGCAGATGTTTTTATGACCAACTGCGGAAAGAGCTTGTCAATGCCTCCAGGTTTCCTGAGGGTTATCTGAGATTTCCATTAAGTGTTTTACAACTTTCCTGGATGAGTGAGCATACAGGAATTAAATGTGAAATTCATAAGCGAAAACTGAACAGCCAGGAGAATGGCTAAGATAAAGAACGTGGGTGACGTGATGGCAAGAAAGTGGACAAGAGTCAGGGCGCTCAGGTCTGCTGTCTGGGGTCCGCCATTTCTGGAGCTATAACTGTCAGGGTCCACGCCTGCCTGGCCTGGTTGCCTCACGGGGATAGAGTAGATGTATCCCCAAGCTCCGAAGGACCAGGCCCCTGGACCGCTGCTAGGAGAGAGCCCTCCAGTTGGAACAGCGCAGGAGAGGGACTGTAGGTGTGAAATGGCCAGAGAGGACCTGCATCTCTAAATGTGGCCTGCAGAGAATGACTTCTGGGCAGTAGACTAGCACGTCACATGAGTGGACTGAGAAGGACTTGAGGGTTAGGCTCCAAAGAGTGAAACCATGTAACAGGGAGGGATTCTGTCAGGAGGGAGAAGGGGCGAGAGGACCACTGGAGGGTGGAGCTGACACCTCTCTCAAATGCCAAGTGTGATAGAGGGAAGAACGTCGAAAAAGTCCATGGAAGTGCTTATTACGCAAAAAACCAAGCAGGAGTTTTCTTTTTTCCCGCCAAAATAAACTTACCTTTTAATTTCATTTTCCATGAACTTTTTGGAGTACCCTGGTATAGTTCCCTTTGGGAAGGTTTAGCTCACATAAAAATTGTCAGTGCTAACGCTAGCCATGCTCTCTCTCCTTTCAACGTTTGCTGATTTTCCATCACTAAATAAAACAAGGCCAGGAGGTGGTGGGAAAGGACGCCCACTCTGCCTCTTCGCAAGTAATCCAGGGCTCCCTTGCCCTGTGAGCACTTGGGCCATGCACCATCCTTTTCTTTTTCCAGAAGCTGTTTCCGGAGCGAGCTGCTGTTCCTGGATTAGCGCCGCTCCTCTCCTGGGTCACTAGATCTAAGGACACTTCTGAAATGGAATCTCCCACAGCTCTGCTCTGGGGACGGCAGAAGCTCCCTGCCTCGTGACCTTTACCACCTGGTTCCCCGGGCATGATTCTTTGGCAGCACCTGTCAGGGTCCCATGAGACTGTGACCTTAGGCCCCCACAAGGTGACTGCTTGTGTGGGAGCTGCATGGAGGAGGTGGCAGGGGAATCTTCTCAATTCTGTGAGAAAGCCAAAGAAGTGCTTAGCCCCAGTGAAATCCTTTTGTGGAGAAAGGACAGGGGTGATGTACCGCCAGGGACCATGGCTGTGTTATCCCAACCCTAGTCCTCGCCCGAGGCACAAGGGAAGGCTTTTCAGGAGCAAGACCTTGCTGCAGCTGAATTTAAGATTTTAAGGTTGCTCTGGTCAGTCGGGAAACTCACGCTTTGGGGGACCCAGAATGTCTTGTGTTGTTTTTTTCAGAAAGCCACAGTGGGGTGCTGTAGCGACAGGATCTCACCATTAACTTTTAATTTCTTTGCTTTTGTTGGTCACTTCACATTATTTGAAAGTATGTTTTGGCTGGTGAATAATGCTTTTGGATTGCATTCAGAATGCATAAACAGCTGTAGTAAAACTTGCTCCCTTGGACAGGAGCTCTGCACAGAGGGGCCAGGTGGTGCAATGGATTAGCAAAGGAGCCCTTAACCCCTGAAACCTGGGTTCAAATCCTGCTCAGGTCACCACCAAAAGATGAGGTGTCAGCCTTGTTTTGGTTCTGAATTCCAATCACTTAGGTGCCTGTTTGTTCAGAGCACACAACTCCCCAGATGATTTGGCCCAAAACTACACAACTGGCTGATTCTACTCAAGGGAGGGCCAATCCTGAAATAGCAGGGTGTAGCAGGTCAACACTGCAGCGCATTGGCAGAGATGAATGGGGAAGCTACAAGCTTAGGAGCACCTGCCAGCTCAAAGCCTGGCTCAGGCCAATGCAATGATTTCCTCACTTTTTCAAGCACTAAATGTGGTAGAGACGGGAAGAACAAAGTTTCTCGCAATTTTTACAGGTATCGTGTGTGTGCAAGACTGCAGCTGGATTCAAAAGTCTGCATTCTTTCATTGTAGACGTCAGAATCCGGAGCTTGATTTTATAGCCACATTTGGAAAAACTGGCTTCCTCTTGCCTAGAATATTTGCTGAGGGTCAGACCCTGTTTTTTCTCCTCTTTTGCTTTCTTTTGCTCGAGCCACTTATTCTGGGGTCTCCATGTCTCTGGCTATGAATTGGGAATACCCTGGAGATATTATTTTCTACCTACTTAATTACCTAGGAGCAGCGTTTTGAAAATTGAATTCATGTTTGCAAAACATAACTAATTCTCTGGGTGAGAATAATTGGTTACATGCGAAGTATTAGTATTGTGAGAAGAATTACTCCACTGGTTACCTCTCTTGACCTCCAATTAGTAATTATGTAAGGGTGCATAGTGGCTTTCTAATGTGTGTTCTCTGCAGACATCGCTGGAAATGGGGTGCCTGGAATATTGGGAGGATTCTACCAAAAACAACACCTGTTGGCAACCAGGGTCCCGAGCTCTGGGCACGGCTCTATCATGGACAACCTACCCCATGTGAACCTCCATTTTATTTAGAGATTGACCTCCCTGGCCTGGAGCACAGTAAGAAAACGCTCCTTGGGGCATTTTCTTCCTGGGCCAGTTCTCTGGGCATTGAGGAGAGTGTGGATGCGCAGGTGGGGTGTTGTACAACAAGGCATTTTCCAGAATCGCGCGGTGGCCAGCTCATTCTTCTTGCTTCTCCGTCAGGTTCATCAGCACCAGGACCGGGGAGAGACCTTTCAGTGCCAGCTCTGCCCTTTCACTTCCTCACGCCACTTCAGCCTGAAACTCCACATGCGTTGCCATCAGCACTTCCTGAGGACAGAAGCCAAGGTGAAGGAGGAGATCCCAGACCCAGATGTCAAGGGATCTCCCCACCTCAGTGACAGTGCCTGCCTGGGGCAGCAAAGGGAAGGAGGAGGGACAGAGCTAGTGGGGGCCATGATGACGTCTAACCCTCCAGAGAGGACTAGCCAGGGTGGGGCTGGCGTCTCGCCCTTGCTGGTGAAGGAGGAACCCAAGGAAGAGAACGGCCTGCCCGCCTCCTTTAGCCTGAATCCTGCCGACAGGCCCGCCAACCACACAAAGCTGAAAGACCCCTCCGAGTATGTGGCCAACAGTGCGTCAGCATTGTTCAGCCAGGACATCTCTGTTAAGATGGCGTCTGATTTTCTCATGAAGCTGTCAGGTACTTGAATAGGGTTGTATTCATTCTCTCTCTTCTTTCTCGCTCGCTCGCTCTTTCTCTCTTTCCCTGCCAGTATATTCTCATCTGTAAAATGAGCTGGTAGGACTAGATTGGTTTCCAAGTCCCTTTGTTTCTAATAGTCTGCACTTGCCTAAGTTTTCTGTTGTATGTTTTTTTTTTTCCCCTTTACTATTATTGTTATTATTACTGTGCAATGCTTTGGAAGTAGGCATTTTCTGACTTAGGTCTGGAGACAATAGGGATTGTTGGTTTTGTTTTTCTGTTTTTGTTTTTTTAATCCTCTGTTTGGGTTCTTCTGATGGGGGGAAGTTCACATGGTCAGCCAGGTTTGTGTCACTTGCCTTGTGTGACCTTGAGCCCTGTTTAACTTGTCTCTTCCGCACCGAGTTCTCTAAAGTACTTGTACATGAAGTACCTCATTTTGTGTTTTTCAAGTCATTTACTGTCTTAATTTGAAAGATTGTTAAGGATCACATGTACAGAGACTACTGCTAGAAATCACAGACTTTGAAAATTTGAGCAAATGATAAATATTATCTTTATGAATTTTTTTAGGGTTTATTTTTTTTTGGTGGAGAGATTTCTTTATTGTGGTAAAACGTACCTCCCATGATATTTACCATTTTCCCTATTTTTAGGTGCATGGTTCAGAAGCTTTAAGCACATTGAGAATGTTGTGCCACCGTTACCACGACCCATTGCCAAAACTTCAACCTCCCCAACCAAAACTATAACCATTAACAATAAGCCTCCATCTCCCCATAACCTCTTTTGTACTTATTTCCTATCTTTATGAATTTGATTACTCTAAATCCTTCATGTAAAGTGGAATTTAAAAATTGTTTTAAATTAGTTTCCGATTGTCCTATCATGCCCTTTGTAGAGAAGATGAAGCATACACTGTAGAAATTTATTCTCATTAATTGGCATTGTTTTCCATCACTGTCAAATTATACCTGATGCGTCTCTTGGTTTCTGCCTTTTTTTTTTTTCTCCCCAGTGTCTTTTAAGTTGTGCTGTTGAACAGGGTGTAGTGGGGTAGGGGCACAGTTTCTCCTGACTCTGTTAGAATAAGACAGGGGTGGGATTGTGCTGCTACTCATTACGCTTTCAAAAGTCTGATTTAAAATTTTAAAGGAGATCTAGAGGGTGGGGAAAGGTCGGTTGAGAATTGGTTCTGTCTTTCAGTGAAGATGGCAGTCCCCACGATGATTTCCAAATGCCATTTCAGCGCTTTGGAGATTGACAATACCCTTTAAATGGAGAATAATTGGTCACCACCTTCCTTTAAATGGGCTGTGTGTCGCATTTCACTAAATGTCATTGCCAGGTGAATTAGAGGTTCAGCTTCACTCCCAAGTCCCTCTGCTCAGTGACACTTCAGTGAGTCTTTGGGGAAGTCCTCCTCACCCCAGATCTTTGCCCCTTGGCAGTGGGAGACCCTGGTTGGGAGAGCAAATGGTTGGAAAACGAGGTGTCCCAGAAACGAGTGGAGGAGCAAGGGGGCAGAGAATGGGGCAGGGGCCCTGAGGAAGCCCTGCTGGAAACAGTGGGCTGCAAGAATTCTAACACTTCCAACTTCTGCTCCTCTTCCCTGCTGCCTTCTCTGTCTTCCAGCCCAATCTCTGGAAAATGGGATTTTAAAAACTGAGTTTTATATTAAAATTGTTTAAAACCATTGGGAGAAATGCACGTTTCCCATTTCCCTTTAGGATTTTGCCTCTGCGGGGTCTCCAACTCCATCTTGATGGAATTACCTGCCAACGTGAGAGCCAAAGGGGTTCCTCTGGGCTTTGCTCAGGGCCACCCCAAGGGAAGAAATGCAGAGGATATATGAGGGGTCTTCAGAAAACTCACAAAACATGCATATCATGAAAAAACTATGAGGGGATTTCTAAATGCTTTTGCACCAAAATTTATCTTTTTTTTTTTAAGTTATTTATTTTCACTGTATATGAGAGGCTGACACATACATACAGAGAGAGACACACAGAGAGAGCTCTTAGCATCTGCTGATACAGTCTCCGCAACAGCCAGGGCCAGGTCAGGTCAAAGCCAGGAGCCTAGAACTCAATCTGGGTATACCATATTGATAGCAGGGATCCAAGTACTTGAGTCATGATCTGCTGCCTCCCAGGGTGTGCAGTAACAGAAAGCTGCCTTGGAAGTAGAGGAGTCTGCACTCGAACCAGGCAGCCTGAGTGCCCCCAGCAGGCGTCTGTCTGCCATTAGCTTCAGCCCCAGTCTTAGTAGCTTTCAGCTGCTCAGAGCTAGTATGGCACACAGTGGAGCCACCAGGGGAGAAGAAGCCTGTTCCAAGGCTGGGGTGAAGGGCCCTGCACTTGCACAGGAGCCTTCTATGGTGGTCTCCTTTTTTTCTTTTCCGGTTAACTATTGATAGGGAGTTGTTTTTGGTTTGGCAGAGTATTTCCTGGCTGATCAATCAGCACAAGAAAACAGATAACAAATGCACACTATTTATGCAAAAGGCCCATGCAGCTATTTTATGGTGGCTTACTAGAGGTCCTGAAACCTGACTTGTATGCACTGTTACCTAGCAACCTGTTATAAAGTCACCGGGGAGTGGGATGCATCGGTAATTTTTTTGTGTGTGCATATTTGGATGTAAATGTAAACTTGGTGACTGTGGCAGTGCCGCCCGCAGGAGGAAGGGGAGGATATGTTCAAAGGAAAGGAATGCATTTTCTGGAGGGATTTTTTATTATTATTATGATTCCACTAACCCTCTGGTTGGCCAGGCCCCACAATTGATAGCTGCTCTCACAGGGGTGCTCTCCGTGGATGTGTCTGCAGATTTGATTCAGGGACAAAAAGGCCAGATCCCGCAGGGAGCTGCGGCTGAGTTTCTATCTCTTCCTGTCCTCAAATGCAGAGTAGTGATGGTTAGCTTCGGGCCTCCTCCCTGGACGTCATAAGGGCACCATTGTTCTAGCACTGAATTTTTTCGCTGGGCTCTGTCCGTGCACCTGCTGGTGCTATAGGGTGCAGCTGTTTGTGGGCATCGAGTCTGCGAGTCTTTGTGCCAGCAGATCACTGTCTGCAAAGCTGAAGCACAGTGACAAATTCAAGCGTGTAGACACCTACTTATTTCCAAAAGGGAGAGAGAAAACACTTGATGCTTTCTTGCCTGATTAGTAAGGGGAGTCTTTCTTGCTCCTTTGACTAAAAGCAAGCATAAAGAACAGAACCCACGGGATTACAGTCCTCTGGGTAGAATGCTGTTTTAAATTGGCTGTAGGGGCTGGTGTTTGGTATAGGATCTAGGATCGAGTCTGGACTCTGTTTTGGATTCCAGCTTTCTGCTCATGTGTACCCCAGGAGGCAGTAGGTGATGGCTCAAGGTGTTGGATCCTGCCGTTCATGTGGGAGACCCGGATGGAGTTCTAGGCTCCTGGCTTCTGCCTGGCCAAGCCCCAGCTGTTGCAGGCATTTGGGGAGTGAACCAGTGGATTAGAAGATCTCTCTGTCTCGTCTTTCTCCGTCCCTCTCTACCTTTCAAATAAATGGATTAACACTATTTTAAAATTACACTCTAAATCCTCCTTCCATCTGTTTGGAGGTTTCCCAATGATCAGACTATTTCAAAACGTTCTTGGAAAATGGAATTAAAAGATTATTTTGGTGCAAACATTTTTTTTAAACCCAGGGATAGTTTTTTTCATAGTGTGCATTTTCCAGGAATTTTTTGAAGTGCCCCCTTCCGTGATTGTGAAATAAGATCCCTTCGCCCAGCCTTCCTCTGTCCTTCAGACGGGGTCTCCGCTTCACGTTCCTGGGTCCTCCATGAAGAACGTCATTTCCTAGGCGAGTATGGGGCAACCCCAGCTGCTGGCTTCCTGGGCTGATGGAAAGGTGACTTCTGCAGATCTCACTCAGGCTTTTCTACCCTGGGGTGAGACCTTGAAGGGCCTCAGCCCTGTGGGTTTGCGTTGAGCTTTCCTGGAGGCTGGAAGACCAGTACAGGTCAGGGCAAGTGATCCAGTGGTCATGTGACTGGGGGTGTTGTGGAGGGGGGGTGGACCATGCATAGCTGAAGTTCTGGTGATTCTGTGTAGTCGCCTGCAGCCAGCGGCGGTTCTTAACCCGGCCTACACAGTACACTTTACCTGGGGAGTTTTTTTTTACAAATGCCAGGGCCCTGAAATTATGATTTAATTGGCCTGGAGTATACTCTGGACATTGATATTTTCTTTTAAAATTCTCAAAAGTCTAAGGTGCAGCCAGGACTAAGGGCCATGGGTGTGGAATATAAACTTGGTACCTGGTACTATTTTCTTCAGTATAGCTATGGGTTGTTGTTTTGCTTTTTTTGTTTGTTTGTTTGGAGCACACTTCTCTTCCCACGCTTTCTATCCCAGACCACGGAAAAGGACAAGGTAGTCTGAGCTGGGCCTGAGGCATTTCCCCATAGGTCAAGGTTGACCCAAAGGAGAAGCACGGGTGAGTCATGTTTTTCGAGCCTCGTGTGTTTCCTCGTGGGGCCTCATGACAAGAGAATTTCATGGCAGTTAGGAAGTCTCAGGAATCAATGTGGAGCATCAGGCAGCTGGGAGTCTCGTTGGAAGTCTGATTCAAAGATGCCCGTGACAGCCGCACCTCCCTCTGCTTTTTTGCAAACTGCACTTTTCAAGATACAAAATTTAATTCTAACTCTCCAAATTATAAGCAAGCAGTTGATGGAAACTTGGCACCTCACTTGTTGGCTGGGAATATCTTTTTGTCCCTGGTTTTTCCAAAATAAAAGATATAAGTCATTTCAACTATTTTTAATTTGGAAACTGGCGAAACTTTTTGTACTGTCTCCCACATTACATTAATTTCATAAAATTGAGACCAAAATAATTTTAACTAGGAGAGATGGACTTTTTAAAGCAACGATTTACTTTTAGCTTCTCAGAGACAGTTTGTGAACAAATGGATACACGTTTCTGACTGATGAGTAGCTCAGCTGTCCGATA